AGTTGTCCAATCAACCTTATGTAATGAAATAATTTTTAAAGACAATATTCTTAATATGACTCATACTTCAAATTTACCTGTTGGTTACAGCAATTAACACTAGAGAGAAGGAATCAAGTAGCGTTGTGTGGGCAGTGAAAAAGTGAAGGTGGAGGATGAAGAGAGCCCATGTAAGTTGGAGACAGCGGACGAGGAAGAGAAGAAGCTCGATTTGGCAATGGGTCTATGGCTAAAGACACTGGAAACAACGAAGGAGAGCTTAGAGCAAATAGAAATCAGTGAAAGAAGAAGAAGAAGATACTATTGCTGTTGGACTACAAAGCAGTCTTATTCGCTTGGGCATCTCAAAAATCTCCACGGACGAACCTCGACAAACCAGACTTCGACCTCGACAAGTGTTGACCAGAGTGCATGGTACTTCAATTTCATATCACAAATTTACATTTGAACAGAAGGAAAATGTGTTGATTTGCATTATATTGCCACGATTATAGTAACTGATATTGAAATGATAGAAACAGGGGACGTGCGAGCTGGAGAGTAAGGGGGAAAACAGTGAAATTAGAGGAAAATTATATGTCAAGCCCTATTTTTTTTAAATAACACACGTTTATTTCAATTTAATGATGAGAGTAAAATTATTTTTAATTTAATTGTTTGAAATTTAAGATATATTAAATACAAGTTTATAATTTAAATCGTCTTGAATTTATAATTCAATGTCAAAATTGTACATTAATTCTTTAAAAGTTATTGAATTTAAATGAAGATAACTCTCAAAACGATTCTTTTATTCTCAAACATCGGACCCACAATTTTAATAGACAAGTATTAGTTGACCCAACCATCAACTATTATTGTTATTTTTTGAAAGTGAATGCTCCTGGGGAAAAAAAAAATAAAAGTTAAGGAAATATGACTTATAGTATTTGAAATTTTAAATACTGTTGATTTGGTCTATAATTTTGACTCAAAATAACCCAATTTTTATACTTAATTGAGTTAAGAAATCATAGGAATTAAATTATTTTGAGCCAAAAAATTATAAAATTAATTAACTTGTTGAGAGAAGAGTTCACTTGTTTTGAGAAGAAAATTCTTATGTGGTGCTTTTTTTCCTTCATTTTTTTAAATTTTTACCCCTAACCTAGCACTTTCTTAAAAAAGGAAGATACGTGCACTCACATATGCATACAACTGTATCAATACAGGATTTAAACTCAAGTTCTTTTTTTAGAGAGGGAGTTAGCGTTGCCACTAGAATGATTAAAAAATTCATTTGTGATACTCAGGATGATTATTCAAAGGGAGAAGAGCCCACCATATCTGAAGCAGAGCGTGACTAAGATTGAGAGTCTGATGGGTTTGGTGTCCCCATCCCCACCCCTACCAAAAACACCCAAAATCCATACACTGCATCGGCGTACATATATGATAAGATCAAGTTCACAATCTTATACTTCTACTAACAATTATAGTGAAACTATTTGATCAGTGACTTGATTCCATCAAATATACATGTTTCATTTAAAAGTAACTCCCTTGGTTTTTCTGAAAACGACAACTAAGGACTTTCTAAGAGTATTAGTATCAAATGAAATTTTTTTATTGAAAAATATAATTATTTATCCTTATAATTTTAATGTGTTTTGGTACAGATTTATATACTTTTGTTGTTGTTGTTTTTAATGCGTTTTGACAGAGGTCTTTATATTTTTAAATTTTTCATGTCCCTCTATGTTTTTTTCTTCCTGTTTGCAACTTTAGTCATTGTATTTTTAAAAATATCTTAAAAAATCAATGACTATGTTTTTTTTTCTTTTTTTATTATGTTCAATGTTAAAACAGAGGAGGTGAGCACTAAATTTGAAAATATAAGTTATATGGTGAGATCCCGATTTGATATTATTTTTGAATGAAGTCAGGTTATCATTCTCCTTATTTTTTATCTCTTGTTCCATCCCCTAACCCATTAACTCATTACAATAGGACCCCACCCTAATCACTTTTTGTCGTTTCTTGTCGGCTACTAATATTTGCTTCAATTTCCCCATTGTTTCCCACTTCCTTTGGGATATTTATATTTCGAATGCATGATTTGTCATAATTTAATTTCTAGGGATTAGGAATGGACATCATTATGGCACATAAAGCAACGTTGTGGCTGATTTTAGGGTGCATGCTTAGAGAAGCTTTCTTAGAAAAAGCATGTTCTTGAAGGACATGTTACTTTCTCATATCCCGTATGTTCCACTATCAAAGTTGAATAAAAATCTTCAAAACCATCATCATTCCAATGCTATTTACCATCCTCCAATTAATTAATTAAATTCAATATTCCAAGAGACAGCTGCGAATTTCGCTCAAATAATCTAAATCGAAAGTACTCCTTATTAAAACTTGATGATAATTTCACTTAACGTCTTTTTTTGTGTTGTATTCAGTTTGGATTCTCCCTTCTAATCAGGAGGTACAATAAAAAACCTCATTATATACATTTTTCTCTTCTACTTATTTTTCTCTTCTCTTATCAACGACGGGTGGAGACATGAGAATTAGCAGGGTTATGACTCCCTAACTGTTTATTTTTTTAATAAAATATAAGAGTTATATATTTTTGACTCTTATAAGTTAGCACATTATAAAAACCTTGAAACATTAGATATAATTCTTATTTTGATTCTATAGTAGTTTTTTTACGCATGTGTACTCTAATTGTTACAATAGCTTGTAAAATAATATTATAGTTGCTCTTAAATTATTGGTATAATTTGATTTTGCTTTCATTTTATATTGATAAAATAAATTATAAGAATTATTATTATATATAGAAAATTAAATAAGCAAGTAATATAGTTTTTTATTTTTATATTGAACAAAACTTTAAATCCCAAGAATGCATTTTAGCTATTCAATGTTTATGGGGAAGATGCAATATTTGCCAATCTAATTATAGTTTATATTGAAAAGAAAATTGTTAAAAAGTTTATCTTAAATATGATAATAAATTATTTTTATGCCATGAAAAATTAATGAACAAAATTTAAAAAATAAAGATATATTTATCTATGTTGTGCACGCGTGTGTAAAATTGTATATAAATATATAAGTTGAAATATTTATATTATGTTAGTGATATATGTAGATTTAATTTTCTTTTAATTATCAGATATGTTATGTTATTTCGACCCCTCTAACAAATTTTTCTAGCTCTGCCCTGATTCGGTAGTTCGTTATATCTAGCAATTATTATATATATATATATATATATATATATTACTTTATGAACATACACATACAAGTTATAACTATATCATAAAATGATCATCATATTTATTATTAAAAAATTCATAACACGTGTCCTGTTTATGCATATATGCATCATTTGAAACTCAATTTATGAGCATGTAAATATAATAATTGAGCATAAAAGTAGGCTTGCACCAAAGATTTCTGGTGCTTGCCGGGTCTCCCAAACAATCTTGTTGGTCGCCATCGAACTATTTGACAGATTCTCCACATGAAAATTAGGTTCCCATGTAGATTTAATTTTTCTGAGTTGTACATATAGAATAAAACAAAAATTATGAGTTGACATATAGCTAAGCATAGACATATTTATCTAACATGTTTCTATTTGCTTATGCATGCTTATTTTGATTTTCAATTATTTCATGGATGTGCACATAATTATTTTTTTTATCACTAGTGAGACCAAGAAGAGAAAAGAAGAAAAATGTTATAGGATGTCTTTAATTATACTGTCAATATAATTGAACAAAAGGAAAGATACTTCTCTTCTAATATTTACTTGTAAGTTATTTCTTAGTGAAATTAAAGAAAATTTTAAAATTCATTAATTATGTTAAAAAATTTCACGAGTTTTCAACCTCTTGTCCTTATTTAAATATAAATATATTTTAAAAATGTGTTTTCTCTCATCAATATTTAACAAGAATAAAAGAAAAAAATTATGATAAAAAATTAATATGTCTAAATAAGATCAAATTTTCTCTCTCTTTCTAACTTGTAAACATAACTAACGTAGAGGACGGGCTTTACCTATTAAAGTGATTCACAATTCTATCTCGGTCCAAGTTAGGGGAGGAAAAAAAAACCTCATGGGAAGTGAAATGAATGTGCTTGATTAAGTTGTAAGCAAACCCTAACTAAGACGCAACTGCTTGAAATTAAACACAGAGGGGAGATTCATGGAGATCAAAAGCAGAGTTTTTGATAAGGAAAGTAAAGAATGAATCAATCAAATCCGGTGTTTCAGATTAATTAACCTCATTTAATTTTCACTGCTCGTGAATGGTGCTTTGATTAATTAATTGATTGATTAGAGAAAAAGATGGTTTGACAATTGAACACATCAAAGAGTCCAAATCCTTCAAAAAGGATCCCCAGTGCACACTCATTATTCCACCAATAAAATATTATTAAGAAAAAGAAGATAGAAACCTATTAAGAATTGCATTAAATTTAATAAATATTAAAATGAGAAAAAAGCATAAAAGATCAACTTCAATAGAAATAAGTGACAAGGACATTTAAGACCCTTTGAAAAAATTTTATTGTAATAAGAACCTATTAATTTTGCATTTAATATTATTTTATAAAAATACGTATATGTTATTACTAAAAGTTGAATCTTAATTTATTAAATTTTTAATAAACTAATAACAACATTTACAAGGTTCAGTTTTTAACAACTTGTTTTCACAAAAAAATATCCGATACAAAGCTAATTGGTCCTTATAAGGATAAATTTCTCTTAAATATCATTCTCCCAATAAATAAAGTAAACTTTAAGGACTGAAACTGTAATTAATTAAGAGGCACCATTAAGCATAGTCAAAACACACATTTTTTTTCACCCTCTCCTTTTCCTTAGCATCATTCACAAAGTAAAGCCAACACATAAAGCCAGCCCACAAACGAACTAAAACATTCTTTCTTGCCACAAAGCTGAGCTCTTCAGACCAACAAGGTGAAAACTCTCTCTCTCCCCCCCTTTCTCTCAAGTCATCCCTTCGCTTTTCTCTATCTTTTCTGCTCAGAATTCATGTTTATGAGTAGTTGCTCAGTACAGCCACAGGTGGGTGTATTTTAATTTTTCAGGTCTTACTCTTTCGATGCACTGCCAGTTCTTCTGAGCTACATATTTATTCTAGATTCTAGGGTTTGTTCAAAAGCTGACAAAAAAAAAAAAATCGATTTCCGCTAGGTTTTTAAGATCCTCTTTGTATCTTTGATATTTTCTTGTTCTATATCTTCAATCTGGTCCCAAATACAAAGGCACTGCCTTTTCTTTTTGTCCTCTTTAATTACCTTTTCGCTCATCAGATAAAGAGAAAACAAGGTACAGTGTTTGTTATTCTATTGATTAATTCATTCCACAAGATGATAATATATATGATCATCTTCCCCCCTCAATCGATTATTCTCAATCTTCTCTAATTTGCTGTGAACCTAAAAATGAAACAGCTAACAGCCCAGCTCTTAAATCTGTTACACACACATACACACATGAAATATATATGAGAAATTCTTGTCATATAATCATGTATAGCTTTAATTTGATTCTTTTTCTTTAATTTTTGTCCTCCTCTCTTTTCTTTTCTTCCTTTTGGATTATTCAGGAATTGAAATATTAATTGGAGGTGTGAAAAAGCAAGGAAGCAAGCGATGGAAGGGAATATAGAAGCAAACAAAAATAATCCATGCACAAAAGCGGTAGGGTTGGAGAAGAAGACAAGGCCACAAGAACAGCTGAATTGTCCTCGATGCAATTCTACAAACACCAAGTTCTGCTACTACAACAACTATAGTCTCACACAACCCAGATATTTCTGCAAGACTTGCAGAAGGTACTGGACAGAAGGTGGGTCCCTCAGGAATGTCCCTGTTGGAGGCGGTTCCAGAAAGAACAAGAAGCTCATCACCAATCCTTCATCTTCACCACCACCACAACCATCATCAAGGGTTCTTCCTGACTTGAACCCACCAACAACGACTTCTGCTTCTTCTTCTTCTTCTCAAAATCCTAAAATATTAATGCAAGGAGGCCAAGATCTCAATCTGGCTTTCCCACCTATTGTGGAGAATTACGATCATCATCATCATCATGGGCTTAGTTACCAAAGCTCTTCTTCTTCTTCAAGTTCTTCTTCTGCTTTGGAACTGCTCAGGGCAGGCATGGCTTCGAGGGGTTTGAATAATAATAACCCTTTTGTTCATCATAATATAATACTGATGCCAACCTCAAACAATGCGCTTTTCCCTTCACCTGGGTTTAATCCCATGCATGAGGCTAAGCCAAGCCTTGGATATTCAGTGGATGATCAAGGGCTTCGAAGCAGATATGGTGTTCAAGATAATAATGTTAATGCTGGTGGAGGAAGGTTTTTGTTTCCTTTTGGAGATGTCAAGCCCATTCCAGGAGCTCGTGAAGTGGAAGAGAATAAAGAACATGCTGGGAATTCGTCTTCTGGGTATTGGACAGGGATGATTGGTGAAGGATCCTGGTAAATTACAACGAAGAGAGACAGAGCTTGGACATGGTTTCATTATTTGGTGATTATTCTCAGCTTCTTTAATATAAACATGACAGGTGTAATATTAATATTTTCGAGAAAAGCTTGTCATGTTTTTATTACAGAATCTGCTGATATAAATACCAAGACAATGGCCTAAGTTTTTCTTCTTCGTTTTTATTTTTTCTATATCGCTCTCTTTTATTGGATGGATCGTTACAAAATGCTGCTTGGAGTTGTTCATCAGAACTAACAAACAAAACCATAGGATAAATTTCGCTTCTTTTCTTTTTTCTTTTTCCTTTTCAAACACTACCTATGCAATGTGAGAGGATATAATTAATTAACTAATTACTAGAGCTAGTTTCTGCGACGAATCTCTTGGGGTGTAATTTTATGATGACGGTGATAAGAGTAAGAGCAAGAAAAGGTGAATATAGGGCCTATTTTTGTCCAAGGTCGGCTTTTACATGCAATTACCTGTATTCATAAATTCTTCAGTACTGATCATAATTATAGAGATGAGAAGAAGCTTTATTGAATGGTGTGTGCTTTTCACTAATGCTCGGTCCTAATCAATTAATGAATTTCTTTTTTCTTTTTTTGGTCATTTAAGAGATCTAAAAATTAGATATTGATTCAGTTTTGTATGACCAAGAGTTATGATCAATCTGGGATTCGCAGTACTGATTCGGATTCTCTTGTGTATATAAATATAGCTGTGTGTAGTACATTCAAAAAGAAATAAAGGAAACGAGTGAATCCGATGCACAAAGGACACTCTTTCATATCACTTTTTTTTTTAATAATAATTATTATTATGTAATTATAAAAGATTTGATCTTATTCAAATGCAGTAATACTTTATGCCTTTTTCTCTACGCCCACTTGGTCTGTTTTTGAGAGTGCAAGCATGAGTGGGTTGTCAGCCTTTAAAATCAAAATTATGACGTAGGAGATTCTTCCAACTATGAAAGCACTTGATGGAATTATTGGAAAGAATATAATAAATAAAAGATAAAAAAACTGGGAAAGGAGAAACAATAGAGTGTCCTATGATCTTCATCTTTTAGCTAATTAGGAATGAGACACCCACTTTTGGTGGTGACTTGATGCAAGCTTGCATTATAATTATATACATATATTAAATGCATCTATATTAGACTATAGAAAAAAGTTAGTCTTGTTGATAAAGAAAGATTTTTTTGCATACCGAAAATAAATAAACATACCAAAAAACGAAATATTTTTCTTTTCTTTTTCTTTGAGCAAGCTTGATTTTTATTTTATTTTATTTTAAAATGAATCAAACTGATTTAAGAAAGTCAGTACTGCCCAAAAAAAAAATTAAGTGATGTCTTTATTTGTGTGCTTGAGAGAAAAATGCTCTTATGGTGAGAGGTAGTGCACTAGAGCCAGTGGGAGCGCTTCCCTAGTAAAGTTGGAAAAAACTTATAGAAGGAGGAATTATTCTTTGACAAAACTTTCCAAATTAAAGTCTTAATTTAATACAAATAATATTAAAATTATTGATAAACATGTACTTAAGTATAAATTTTTAGTTAAACGAGTCTTGATATTAAAGTTAAGTTTTGGCATGAGGTACAATCATTACTGGCTTTGTTGGCCTTTTAAACCTATGTCTTGTGCCAGAGGAAGAACGTTAAGTTATATAACTTGCACAATTCAAAGTTCAACCATGTGGGGATAGATTTTGACTCAAATTCAAATCAGCAGGAAATATCTAATATTGAATAATATTCGCAAAAAGTGTACTGGATATCATAACAAAATTAATGAATGAATTTTATTTAATAATATAAATGATCAAATTGAGCAAGTAATATTTAAAATAATTTAAAGAAATAAGGAGAAGCAAAACATCCGGATTACCTGCCCCAACCAAACATTTAACCTAATGCATTTGTCACCCACTTTCTCCTTTTTTTAATCATAATCATAATCATAATCATAATACTCTTCTGTTGTATCTCATGTCTGTAGAAAATTATCCTCCATTCCTTCAATCATCATCACTTCCCTTATCATTCATCAACCTGCTTTTGAAATATACATAGAATACTACACTATGGGGATAATTGCAACTAAATATCCAAGCATCACAAGAACTAAAATTTTAAAAAAATGTTACAAGCTGTAGTTATTTGTGTTGGAACAAGAGTATTACCATCAAGTTCTAGAGACTTTAAGATTTTACATATCATCATTTGTTGAGAAAGTTCCTCAAAGCTATTATGGTTCTTTTTTTTGGGTGGGAAATTTTTTGTTGAATGTGGGCACTTAGAAGGTTTTTCCTGTACAATATGTGCGTCCACTTTCTCTTAACTCTGGATTAAAGTGGGGACCTAAAAACATTCCCTTGGGCAGAGAGGAAATTATTTCCTCCTTCTGGGTCAGTCATTAAATATTATCTTATTTTTTTAACCTGCAATTTAGGCTGACTTCTTTCTTGTGCCTCATACTTATTTCTATTCTCTTCAGTTACTTCTCAGGAGATTAACTTGCTAAAATCAGAATGCTTTCTTCCCCATTTAATGTGTTTTGAAGCATAATTTACTTAAAAGTATTATTCCCTTAACCTGATCTATAGTTCTCTTGTCTGAGGGGCCATTTCTCATTACTCATTGCGTATTGCTAAAGCTTTTTCCTCTGCCCTCCAATGAATGAAGAGGGGTCCAATTTTTTTCCTCCCTGGTACGCAACGGAATAAGAGTTCAAACTTTTTTTTTATTAAAAGGATAACATAATTTTTAGCACCTAAATTTTCTTTCAACTATCAATTTAATCTTCGAATTTTGAATAAGTACGACCTAGTCCTTGTAATTTAGAATCAAGAAATCAGAAGGCTTAAGTTCTACTGTGTTAAGAAACTATAAAAACTGGATTATTCTAAATTAAAAAATTATAAAAACTAGATTCTTATAAATCAAAGTTCAAGTTAGCTGTTTTGGGGTTATTAGAGATGAGAAAAGGAGCTGGTTGGGTGGTTGTAACTGTAAATTAGTTAATTTCCCCTCAACAGTTACGAAAGTTATTGGGATCATTGAGGGTTCTAAATCTATGGAAGAGCAAGGGAATTGGAGCAATTGAAGTCTGCTCAAGCCATTGGGATGGTAATTGATGTAGCTAAGATTGTATCTTAGGAGGGATTGGCATTCTCCCATAATTTTGTGTGCAGCAAAGCTAACAGATGTACTTGTTTATTAGCTCAGGAGTCTTATAGTTCCACAATAAGTTTTGTTTCTTTGATCAACCTTTTATTATACTCAGTTCATTGATTTGTTGGTGGGCTGTTTAATTAATGAAGTTTCAGTATTATTCTGAAAAAAAGAAAGCTCAGAGATTAAATTGATAATTGAAAAAAGAAAGGAGTTAAAAGACTAAAAATTATATTTTTTTCTGAAAAAATGTCTTTTCGCACGAGTCTAACTTTTTTTTTTTTTTATCATTAAGTATGTCAACATTTCATATAAGTTCCCTGCACAAGTGAGCACGAGCTATTATTATTTTCTTAATTTCTTCTTTGAAAAACGCCTCCGCTATATAATATGGACATGGCATGATGCACATTGATCTGACCAATAATCTTTCAGTTAAGTGAGGAAAGGAACAAGGGAGAATTTCAGTTAAGGAATTGTTTTATCAGTGGATCCCAACAAAATTTGAAAAGTCTTTGCGGGATTTCTAGAATAAATTAAAATAAAATGAGTAGCTGAAAATATTAAAATATCCTTTTGCAAAAGAAAAAAAAATAATTGACAACTGATAAATTAATAAATAAAAGTAGAGAATAACAACTAGTGATTCTGAATTTAGAACAAAAATGATTGAACTATTATAATTATTGATAAGTTATGTAATTTATAATTGATATTGATAAATTAACAAGTAAAAATTATGTAATTAACAACTGGTATTAATATAATTATTTACAAATAAAGTCAGATAATTTACAACAAATATTAATAAACTAACAAGAGAAGTAAAAAAAAACTAATAATAATACATTTTGGTCAAATTAAGTGAATAAGTCTTGTAAAAAAATCAGTAAATCAAATTAAATAGTTGACAAGTCATGTTAATAAAATTAATAAATAACATCCTTGAGATTATGAAATTATAAAATTAGTTAATTAACTATTTAACAAATATAAATAAACAAATAACAAGTTTAGGTGATAACCAAATACTTGTTAATTTAGTAAAAAAAAAAAAAAAAAAAAACCATTTCTGTCTTCTCAGCTATCAATTTTGTTTCAATTGAGTCCAAAAATTTTACAGAAAATTTTTTAACTTTTTTTGGGTAAATACCTCTCTTTTATGTTCCTTAACTGAAATTATCTCAAGGAACAACATGAAGTCAAGTCTTGGCAATAAATTGACTGCTGATGACGCAAAGGGTTTAATTTTCTATGCATGTAAATTCAGAGTAGACTCATCATATTCCAGCTGTGAGCTGAAAATATCAAACGGATTGAAGCCAAAAGAAAGGTACACCTTCAAGTCAGTTATAAGCAATAAAGTAACGTTATAAGCTCAGACACCTTATCTACTGTACAATAACAAGTCGAGATATTTATTCCTTTTTATAATCTGAGAAGCAACCTGAAAAAGCAGTTTGCACAAAACATTACATAGTTGAGTATCCTTCCAGTTCTGACTTCTATACAAAGATACAACTTTTTTCCAGAACAAGTGAAGGATCATAAGAGGCTCATCAGCAAGTAAACCAAGTCCCATTGACTTGACAATATCCTCACATGTCCGCGTTAATTCCGAAAATTCGAACCTTGTGCATGTTGGGGAACTTTGCCACAACCAACACGATCACTGCAAGGGTGTTGAAGAAGAGCATTGGGTGTTGATAGTCAGTCGTGTGAGAGGCTATCAAGTACCTGACAAGAAAGCAATAAACAAGGGTGACTATCTAATTTTGAAGGATAACAATTCCCAAGATTCAAGAACAAGAAAAATAAAATATAGAGAGATGCTAAGTCAGCTTAGGAACACCATTACATTATGCATCACTCTCCTGTTTTTGTAGGGACAAATAATAAATTGATAAAGGATCTTGATAGGCACCCGAGCAGGATTGGAAACCCCCCACTAGAAGCTAACAACTAAGGTGAGAGAACCAATCTACTTAAATGCCCTACAGTGTATCCCAAACTACAACTCAATGTGGAAGTGGAACTTAGGCATTCCAGAGGCCTTAGTCTCTATCATATATTTTATTGATAACAACACTGTAATGGCATCATTGAAACAACTGACAAAAGTTTCACTTGAATAATTTAGAATAAGCAATCATACTCAATGCTTGCAAACTCCATTCAAACAGGCTCCATTCCTTCCTTCCTTCCTTCTTTCTTTTTTGTCTACCATCAATATAAAACTTGTCCAGAAAAACTATCCAGGAGCTTCAACTTAAATGGACAAATGTTCGTGCAGCAAGATAACTCTAATGGTTAATATTATCTACCCCTAGAGAAGCACAAAATACTTGCACATCTTAAATCTTACTTTCCAATTCATAGGCAGTATTAAAAAGTAACATTTAGATAGAACAGATATATGTACATAAATTTACAAAGATGAGCTTGGCACAAATTCTACCTTAGCAAACACAGAAATGCACCCTTTAGCAAGGCCATAAGCCAACACTAGGGTCAAATGTTGACAATTGGATCAATAAGATGTCCTATATTTCGTAAAACTTTGCCATTCCTTTCTCATATCAAGTCACTCCACATGAATGATCTGTCTCAAAAAGACACTATATTGACATGGTCTACAAATCAAAACAGAACTAATGGCTACAGTCATTAATTATTGGGAGCAACTATGTATCAACCCCTAAGTTATCACAAAAAATAAAATAAAATAAAATAAAAGCCATGTCAAAATCAATGTGATTGTCATGTGATGTTAAATGCCTCCATCATCTTCATGACCCCTCCTCACAAACTCCCAGCCTAAGATGTTACATGACATTTTTTTATGTTACTTTTATTTTTAATGTGTAAAGTGCGGAACAACTAAAAAGAAGATAATGCTTTAAGTTGTATCAATAATATTGTAAAATCCCATTATAATGAATCTGTAATGAATTGTTATATTCACACTTTCACATAAACATTATCAAATTAATAGCAGGTTCCTGCACCACAAGAAAGTCACAAGGCCAAAATAGAATGTAAAGCGTAGCAATTGTAACATTGTAATGGATGCATGTATCTATGTAGAATTTCATGCACATTTTATGAATGCATATCTGTTAGTGTTGTGCAAGAAGACTGCAGGTAAAAGTTCCCATTCATATACTATTCCAAATATATTCAGTGTCCAACGTAACCCGCTAAAACAAAGGAAAACTTACAGCACCACCGGGACAACTGTTAGAAATTTCCTGTTACGAGTAAGCTGTTTTCCATTATCTATCTGCTCCCACCATGTCAATCCATTGTATATTCCCTGGTCTTCTGCAAACGGGGTTCCTTTCTTCCAGTGGAAAAAGTGGTATGTTACCTAATGGAAACAACATAATCAAGCAAACCATTAAGAGAGGTCATATTTTATAGACAAAAATTACATAACTTGAACCAATCATGCAATTTTGAAGGATATATTGTTGTCTTGCCAATGGTCTCATTAGGTATGTGAACAGATGTTTCCTCAGTATTAGTTTGAGTATGACACTTAGCAACCAAAAACAAATAAAAGGAAATTTGTTTCAAGTCTCATGTCAAAGTTACAAATTAAATCATGTCACATGAAAGGCCACGTTCATGTCATATTAAAACATAATCAAGTCAGTAGGTATATATATATATATATATATATATAATTTAGAAGGCATGCCATATTCAAAGAATCACCATGAAATATGATATGAAAATCAAGTACTTTTCCACCGATCTGAACCAGCATTGGAACAAGCTCCAACAGACCATGGGGTTGGTAAGATAAATTATTACTTTAACAAGGAAAAGGAGATAAAAGATAGCAGTATCATATGTTCCTCACTTCTTTATCCTTGTCCTGTCTGCATAGAGTGATTTTCATCTGTTTATAAGCAGCCTCTTACTGTCTACTATCAATTTCTCTCCCTTTACAGTATCCTTCAAATATAGCTTTAATGTTAATTTGTTATTATAAATGCCATGTTTTAATAGTTCTCTATCCTATATGCTCCCTAAAAGATTCCTTCTTTTACTGAAGAGAAGAGAAGAATTGGCAAGAAAAGGGAACAAACCAGATATGAATTTATCTGGATATACAAGAATAATTTGGAAAATGACTTAAAAGGCATGTAGCGTAATAATTTTTAGTCTTACTGAACATTTTTAGCACATTTAAAAAAATAAAAAATCTGAGTTCCATGCTATCTCCAACAAAGATTTATATGTTGTCTCCATTTATCTGTTAATTCAGGCAAGTCCTAAATCATGGGATCTAAATCCTTTTATTGCTCACTAGAAATAGTGATGCAAGAGAAGAATAAATAAAAACAAGATGATAATGGAGATGAATGCCTTTATTTACAACAGAGGTACACTAAAAATCGGCAATCCCAAAGAAAGTTATAAGAGAAACATCGCTTCTTCTATCCTCAGATTATAATTTTTACTCATCAACAAGACAAGTCAATAACCTAGCCGTCATCATCACTTAGTGTCATATCTAATATATAACCCATTTGAAGGAAATCTATGTCAATAATGACTGAAGAATTGAACCCTGACTTTTGACCATTCAAGCTTCAAGATGTAGCAACTAGCATCTACTGTATTAATAAGTATTGCTTAATAACCTAATATCTCTAATGAAGCTCATGACATCACTTTGAGCTCCAACCATAATCAGAGAGATCAATGTCTTATCAACAAAAATAATTGTTCACAATTGAAATCTCACTTTTGGAGCTAGATGATCACCATCAGTAAAATCCATAGGCCTTCGATATGAACCAATAACCAATCAGGAGTTCCAAGCCGGAGCCAAAAATACAATCGAAGTAAAAGTGTAACCCTAAATCAAAATAATGAAACGTTTAACCTCAAAAGCATCACGACAGAACAAAAACAAGTAAATAAGCATTAATGACTCGCGAAAAGTATCAAGTTAAATTGGGGGTCTTTATGGCCAGAAAGAAGCAAGAAACGATCTCGAATCAGCGAGTAAAACTATCACAGTCTAAACTCTCAGACCAAACCCAACCAAGTATCAATCAATGTAATAGCAACAAACCAACGCATTAAATCGCTAAAATTACAAAACCATAAAAGCAAGTAAGCGAACGAGATTAAAAAAAAAAACAGAGAAAGAACGTACCGCGAAGTGGGCGAGATTGACGATGGTCCAAGCCATACCAGGAGAGCAGCCAAAGACGGAGAGGACAAGCAGCCATGAAAAGAAGAGGATAAGGATGTAGGTGGTCCACACACCTGGATAGGTGAACCACTCGGTGTTTCTGTTCAGATCGGCCGGTGGCACGGCCTTGACATAAAGATTCGCCATTCAAATTCAAAACCCAGATTTTGCCAAAGACTCTCTGGATAGAAAACAGAAAAGGGCAAGATTTTGGTAATTAAAAAAAGCTCAAATAGTCGGTGCCGGATTGGCGTGTCGATGGTTGTGGGTGTGTCGGAGGTTCAAAACTAAAACCTAGAAACAGCTGTGCTTCTCTCTCCTCTCTCTACAATGCCTGATCAGAATGATCAAACAAGGGGTGGCCGACTGAGATTGAAAGCTAAATTTGATTAATCGGCTCCATTAATGACGATGATGACGATGTCGATAACTTGAAGAGGGGGAAAAAAAAAATCCAAGGCTGCGATTCGAACAAAATTAGTTGGGAACAATAAATTTTACTTCGGCCATACCATAAATATTCAACGAAAAAGCAAACGACGCCGTTCATGATTATTCGATTTCGTAATTCAATAAAGTTTGGATTTGAATTGGCAAAAATCAAAAACATTGGATTCGATATTTTTGAAACAGAAATGAGGTGGATTGGACCTTCCAAAAAAATTGTCTTTGGTTGTCACGTGTATTAAAGGAAAATAATCCCAGCCTAAGAAGTTATACAAAAGGAAAAGGAAAAGCCAAAGCAAAAGAAAAACGATCAGAAGACATGAGACTTAAAAAAAAAAAAATCGTTTTTATTTCTATTTATAGTTTTTGACAAAAAAAATATTTTTATTGATGATATAAAATACATTTTAAATTATCAGCCAACACTAAAACAAAATTCGGGCATTGTATTAGAAAAAGCAATCAATTTGTCCACATGTATCTCTATTCTCCTGTGTGTTTTACTTCGTCAATTTCCAACACCTGGTCTTGCGCTGACATGCTCAGAGGAAATAATGTCAACTACATGTATACATAGTTCTTATTTAGCTTCTCAGCATCACCACTTCATTTTGCTGACCAATACAAATCTGTTTATTTTGTCCTTTGCCAAGCTATCATTTAGATTAATCACTGTAAAATAAGCAGAAAAGATGATGATAACAGACCAAACCCACAATTTAATCCTTAATCGATGCATGTGAAGACTATAACAAAATGAACTTGTTATTCTTTTTTCACCATGTTGTGCAGGTGTCACAAAGACTAAGGCGCAACGAACTTCAGATGATTTTCAAGAGGGCTTGAATTTGATCCTCCAAGCCTTCATCAATCCCAAAACTTCTTGGGAGAAAACAGACCAATGCTATTTTATTAATTATCAGATTAACTGTACTCCATTCCATGCACAACCTGAATAACTAGACAACAATATGGTCTCTAAGATAGTTGTCCAGAATCAAATGAACAGGAAGGCAAGAAATATATCTAGCGAACATTGACTATATAACAGCTACACATTGCTGCAATTTCATGTGCAGAACAAGGAAAAGCAAAGATCATCTGGCAATCTGTCAGTTGGAAGTTTAATTTTCAGCTACTTCTTCATTAGAATTTGTCCATCCCAGGTTCACAGCCAAGTCCTCCACTGCCACCTTGATTACATCGCTTCTAACACCAATATCAGTAGCATATCGGCTCATACAGTACATTCCGGCCGTTACAGTAGCCACACCGACAGGACTTGGCATCAACAACTTGAGGGGGGAAGAAAGTACAGCAGCCAAAGGAGCTCCAATGACAGAAGAAGCTTGACCACTTCTTCCCACCCCTTGCTTATCTACTATCAGAAGACCGGTTTTGCAGTACATGGCAAAATCCTCACAGTTGTTCTGAAACACATCATAACTGCCGAAGCCATTTTGGAGAAGATACATTGCCCTCTGGATAACAGATTCCGGAGGATCAGATGGTGCGGTAGTGCACGTGCCACCCCGTATTTTGGCCATAAAAACTGATGGCGAAACGCCATACTCAAAACAGTAAAGGGATCCATTTCGAAGGAAGCAGTCCAGACAAGAGAGAACTACACCGCTATTTGGCTGCCTGAATCCACAGTCAGGGAAGGTTGGACAAGGACTTGAGGTTTCATCGTCATCCAAGTTGGAAGATGTCTCAGCAATTGACTTTAAGTTTCGCTCAGGTCTAAAATGTACCACCTTGCTTCCACCAACAAAAATACCTGCAAGGGATCAGAACTAATGAAATTCAGAAACAAATCTGATTTAAATACACAAGAATAATGAAATTCCATCATGGATTTAGAGATGATTTAGACTTTGCAGCCCAGAGATATGATCTTGAGTTGGCCAATTTTGCATGCTTCACAAACACTACAAAATGATGTAGTCGAATATCAGATCCTGTTGAAACACTAGAGGACAGATAGGGTTCACAGAACAGAAGGAAATAGTTTAAAAACTAACCAAAAGCAAACATTAAAAGAAATGCCTAAAATATTGGCACTCTTCATAGGAATAGTCAGGGATCAGTCTAAGGCTATGGAAAGCAAATGTCTAAAGTAAGGCTGCATGAGCCCAGATTGAATTGATGAGTGACAATTACAAAGCATGCAAAGCAAAATGAAGAATTACCCACAAGCTAAACTAGTGATTCAATCAGAAAGAAAACACAGGACGGCTTGTTTTAAACCAGCAAATAATCCATCTGTTGTATCTGAACTTAAAAGTAACTTCACATATGAGATGCTAGAGGAATGTGAAGAGAGAAAAAAAATCCAAGCTAGCACTTGGGTGAATGAGTGAGTGACTTATTTATAAAACTGGCACAGTCAAGAGTAGCATTTTATTGCATGGGATTTCCTTAAAGTGATAACAGAGGAAGTCATCCTGAGCTTCAAGTCCAAAGAAGATCTCATCTTTTATTTTTCAGGTATAGAAACTGAAGCTAGAAATATGTAGTACGAACTCTTCAACAGGGTAGCATATTAAGGTATAAAACCAGGACCTTGATTATAGCTAGACCTTTCCCAATGACATTCACATCCAAATTAACTCAAATTTTTGCACAGAAGACAGTATCTCAACGATTCATGGTACAATAATAATAATACCAACTTCAAGCCAAGCAAAAAGTATGCTCCCCATTCAATCCATGCAGGTCCATCATGAATTAAAAGAGCCAAGGAGCAGAAATGGAAGCTCAAAAACAGGAAGCTGCAGATACAATGGAATGACAGCTTATGCTTATGCTTCGATCACTACATACATCCCAACACCAAAGCACTCTATGCCTTCATTATACATTGTTTATATGATTTTGCACATTAAGAGGTGCTACTTTAATAGCCCTGGACAGGACCTTTGCTTCATTATGAAAAGAAAGGCCATATTTCAATGGTCGTAAATTAGTGAAAGCCTGATTGAAATGACGGCAATTAACTCCATCTGAGTAAATTGCTAAGATCGATGTACATAGCAATATCTTACTAGCCTTTCTTGTTGGCTTTCAAATAAATCAAGACTAGTTTATATGGAGCGACACAAAAACCTGGATCTTTGGAGGCTTTTTCTTCCTCACTATACGGGGAAAAAAAGGAGAAAAATGTAGCTCCGTTTCCCTACATTCTACCTACAATTAACCAAGCAGAGCATGATAATTGTGTAAATATACTTAAAAACGAAAAACCAAATCGATTGAGTCAGAGTCTAAAAGTGATTACGCATTGGACTGATTCCTCAAAATCCCAAAGATATCCCTCTACAGATACTTCGTTCTACACAATTTGCATTGTTACTGACAATGCGACACCTCTTGAATTGACAAGCTTCAATTCAAAACTCCATCTACTTAGGATAATATGTATGAGTTCAGACAGCATATAAATAATAAAAAAAAAAAACCAAATGCAAAAACCGTGAAAATAAAGCAAACTGAAATAAAAATTGCAAACAAAAATCAAACAACGAATAACAAACTGAACAGGAGAAATGTAAGCCGCACGGAACCCATCGAACGTTACCTGATATCGCACTCGAGGGGGGAAAAGACTATCTATCCAACCTCAATCAAGTCAAAAGGTACCAATTTTCTTGCGAATTACGAAATCCAAATTTGTATCGACAAAACCAAAAACTTTCGTCGTCGCACTTTGCATAAAGCTATCAAAATATATATAAATCAAGGAAAAGGAAAAGGAAAACCCAGAAAATTATAGACAAAAGGAAGAGTCCAGCAGAATAGTGATGAAGAAAACCCAAATTGCTTGATCAATTTCAAACACAAAACCCACATTGCAAATCATCCGAAAAACAATCTACAAATCTGTATTAAAAGAGGAAGAAAGAAGGTAGCACAAGCACTAAGAAAGAGAGTGAAAAAGACCATGGTGAGAATAGGTGAAGATAGCTCTGTATGTATAGATATGATCGCCTGGCTTGATCTCATTACGCTCCACTCTGTGGGTAAGCAAACCCATCTCTCTCTTCCTGTGTGTCTCCCTGTCTGTCGCTCTCTGTACCGTAACACCGCTTCCTTCCTTCCTTCTTCCTAGTGTGACTTGACGACGATGCCCATTCTAATCAAGTCTGAAACCTTTGTGAAATTGGACTCGGGCCCACGCACATCATATGTGGAATTTTTTTATTTTTTATTTTTTGGCTCACATGAAAACATAATAACGGATGGAATGGAATGCGCGTGTCAATAAATGGCTCGCTGACTTAGCAGAATAAGTAGATAAATGATTCACTGACCAGTGACCAAGTCTCTGTTATCCCTTGTCAACAACTTTCTCACCAAATGGTTTTTGTGATGTCAATTGATAATGACGATGTTCTTGATTGGTGATGATGCCCCAGAGCCCCTTTTACATTCCTTCGACTCTTCGTCCCCCAGTTGACCATCAAAACGGAAAATGGAGAGCTACTTCCTAATCCTTAAAAATAAGATTTGGATTCGATACGTTGTCTCATAAAAATGATTATTTTTCAACAAGTGAAGTTATTCACTTGTAAATATATGTGACTAGGTTAAATTTTTTTGAAAAAAGAAAGTGTATTTTCAAAACTATTTTTGTTGTTAAATAACAAAAATTGGCCCTAACTTTTAAAAATAATTGGGAAATTAAACAAGATGTTTGTAATAACAAATTGGCCATATTATACGTGTTACATCATGATTTAAGATGAGAAGGTGGTATAACAAGGAGCAGGAATAGCAATAAAATTGTCCTTAATATGATGGGCCCATAGGCAATTTGGCATAAGCAAGAAGTTTCCACCCACTTGGAGCTTTGAATTCTTTGCCACGTTAACAAGCGATTCTCATTCTATGCATTTTCCCCCACCTTTTTTCTTCCTGGTCATTTACCTTCTTTTTTCAGTACTACTTTTATAAAGAAATAATAATAAATATATGTTACACTCTTATGAATACCAGGCTTCATGTGGAAGTTAAGGTGGATAAGAATACCATATTAGAGATTGTAATCTAATATGCATGTATGTATGTATGTTACCAAGAATTTCAATGATCTCTAAATATACAAAAGAACAGTACAAGAATATGCCTAAATAATCGCAAAACTTCTCGTAAATTCTGAAAAGTGTCACAGAAAAATCTTCCAATCATAGATTTTCACATCAAACTGTTTCTCAGTCTGGAGCCTGTGCCTGAGTTGTTTGGCAGACTCAGCATGTTTGGCCAGCAAGAGAGCGAAGCCTCCACCACCAGCTCCAACCAGCTTGTACCCACGGCAATAGGGACCAGCAAAGGAGAAGAACCTATCAACAGACTCATTGCTACAAAAAGGATCAAGTTCTTGATGCAATCTCCAAGCTTCCAACATTATCTCACCAAGCTCATCTACATCACAGTTCATTAATGCTTCTCTCCCAATCTTCGCCAATTCAACAAGGCGCTTGATGCTCGACACAAGAAGGTTATCGCGTCGAAGATATCTGGTTACCACTTTTTGCAGCACCTTTTTCGCAAGTCGAACCTAACAGTGATTCATGGTATAATTAAATTCAAAGTTCACAAAAAATAAGGAGGCAGCAAGTATAAACAAGTTAATTGCCGCATAACATTAGCCTGAGAATGACTAGGAACAAAGGAAAAAGTTAAAAATAAATTAAATACAAAACAAACAAAAAATTCCATTTAGCTTTTACATGAACAACAAAAATAACAAGGAAGAACTTCCCTGGGTGGGTATGAACATCCTAAGCTCTTTGTAATGTTATCTCAAGACACTACATATCAAGGAAGAACTTCCCTGGGTGGGTATGAACATCCTAAGCTCTTTGTAGTACTATCTCAAGACACTAAATATCAGTTATCCACAGAAAGAGCACAAAAGAAGAGCCAACTCTATATTCAGATTCCTATCACTGGGAGAAAGGAGCTGCGTATGTGCGTTCTGATTTGGATTCTCATGCTTTCATGTAGGTAAATCTGACATAACCGAAAAATATACAAGCACAATTCCTTGTACCAGTTATTCTAATTTTCTACTGTAGAGTTATAATGCATTGTAGTCTTTTTACCAGAGTATTACTAAACAATAAAATCGGAAACTTCACCCAAATAGTTTAGATTAAATGAGATCATGTTACTTGCTGTTGCAAAGCTTAAGAAGACAAATAACCCTACCATATTAATTTCTAAAGAAAATTCTTGATACATTAGTTGCGTAACAAGCCAAAAAATGCAAATCAGTACCATAAACTAATACTTACCTGACCAGTAAATACTACAAGCAGCCGTTGCTGCAACTCTGAAATTAACTGAGGAGAAGCCAACAGGGGAATGACTTGAAGCCTCAAAGGAATTCCAGGAAAGCTTGCAGTGCACTTAATCCCTGGGTACAAACCCCCAATTTGATCTTGCCAGCCACCTCCAGTCCCCATGAGTTGCTCCAACACCAAAACAAGTCTAGCAACATTCTCAGTGCTCTCATCCCCATCAATTATCTGAAGAAGACCTTTCACAACTGCAGCAGCTAAGATACTGGAAGTACCCAATCCACTACCACGGGGAACATAGGCCCATGTCTTGATTCGCAAGCCCATATCAACAGGAATCTTATCATGGACAATGCCAGTTACAACTAATGCAGATTTCACCAGCCGAAATGAATCATCTTTGTCAAATGGTGCAGAAATAGATGTAAAATCTTCAATATATAACTGGTTCTCAGCATCATCAGCAATCAATACTCCAGTTGTTTCAGTTGTTTCTATGGTGGTGCCAATTGGAAGAGAACCTTCCAAGCTAATTGCCATATTCAGAACACATCCCGCACGCTCTATGCTCCAAGGGGGGGTATCACTCCAACCACCAACAAAATCTACCCGAACCGGTAACTCTACTTGTACTCTTCTAGGATGGAAAGACTTATGAGCATCATGATTGCTATTCTGGTATTCCTGACAGGAGATGGCGCCAGAAGACTCTGATAAATGTTCTGCAGTGAAAGAAGTTTATAAACTTCTGAACATTTGAAGATCAAGAAGGGTTAAAGACAATCATGATCAGAGGATGGGGAACAGGAGTACCAAATGTTACTGTGTAACAAAGTATAAACTATTTATCAATTCATTATGTGAATATGGTATCTGTAGCCAAGATAAACGTATGTACTCTGTATGCAACCCAAAAAAGAAGTATATACTTTGTACCTTTAAATCCGTATCTTACTGCTGAAGCAGTCTCACCAGCCACTGCTGCCCAAACTTTGTGCTCCAACTGGCATGCTGTCATTTCATCATTGCAGGCTCTAAGAAGATCAACTTGAACCTGGTAAGCCCGGCTTTTGGGAAGTACATTAGAGTTCTGCTCGTGAACTTTTGGACACATAGCTAGGAAATCCTTGCATATTTCAATACCCAAGTCCTCCTTTTGAAGAATTTCATCACATAATTGAGACAAATTACGGCCAAGCATTCCATAACTAATGCAAGCTTTTGCAATTCCTGCTGCCAGATCAGCCTGGTGATTACTAGAACCAATGCACATCCTTGAGAAATCAATTGATCTATGCAATTCCTCTAGACTGATGCGGCGGGATGATTTCCACAAAGAAAACATTTGCTCAGTGTTTTGGTTAACTAGACCCATTAACCACATTGCAACCTTAAGCATCTCAGCATAGGGAAGTATAGGGAATATTTTTGAGTTCCACAAACACTTATCATCAGTTCTTGTGGAGGCCCATAAATCACTTTCATGAATACCTAAATCATGTAAAACCTTCTTCCAAGGTTTCCCACAGAAGGTACCATCTCTAGAAAGTAAACTTTTGGGGTTATCATGAAGGCCACAATATACTAGGACTCTTTCACCACTTCCAACCAAGGGAACCTCCCAAAGACAATGCCGATCTGGAAGCATAAATTTAAATGAATCTTCTAACTCAGTGTAGTCATTGAGTGAGATGTTGACTCCAACGACAATACAAAGGGAACCAATTTGAATTCCACCAGCAATGGATGAATCATAAACCAGAGAGTCTTCTCCAATTGCAATACCCGCTGCAATTTTACTAGAAAGAATAATAGCTGATGCAGTAATGTCACATGCTGTGGTCGCTGGAATAGAACACAAATGTCTTCTACCAACAAGTTCTGAACCAGCCCCGCTTAGATGATCTAAGACTTCACTTGAGGTCCCGAAATGCAAAAACAACAAGTCATCTGCAGCAGATTGATATGACAATTACAATGTGAAAAAAAAAAAGAATTATGTACAGATAGAAAAGGGGGATGAAGTGTACATAAATAGAAACGAAATGAGTTTTGTCATACAGGCACAACAGCTGAACATCTTTTGCTTTCCCAATTTGCCAACTAATTCTTTCCCCAGGGCACGCTTTCTCAACCACTCATGCTTTGCAGGTACCCATGCAGCAACCAGGTCTTCATATAAGCTCACCTGCACAGCATGATGAAATTGTACTATGATCAAATGCCTTCACTGCTCCATAAAGTTATAAAACCATCAAATGCTTTTTTATATAGACCTCATAAATAAACTATACATATCCTAAAGTTATGTTGTTAAGTGTACTAACTTATAGTTTATAAGAGTAATTACTACAGAAATGAATGAAGACAATCAAGCTGGAGAAAAAGAAAGGGATAGCCAATCAGTCAGTATGGGGGGAAGGGGAAAAAGTAGAAAGGAAAACAATTGACCAAAAAAGACATTTTTTGTCATGTCAAAAGGAAATCTTTTATTGATTGGATAAAGCATGGTACTGGATCAAAGTAGGTGCAGTAAAACCTAGCTGAGTCCATGCTATGAGGATTTTTTTTTTTTTAAACAATAGTGCATGCACGAAAACAAGTCTTCATAAAGTTTCACTAAATATAACCTCTGCCAACACCTAAGCAAATTAGACAAAGATAAGAACGGCCCTAGAACATAAAAAAGAGATCCCCATGTATTCTTAATAATTAAGTAAAATTAAAAGTATATATTTAAAACTCAACTCTGGCAGCATACCTCCTTTTTGCTCTTCAGAAGCTCTTTAATCATTTCTGGACAGGAACATGCAAGCGTAACAAGCTCCAACCATGCCTTGCCTTTAACTGCTATTATTCCAGTATCAAGAAGTGCTCTACCATCACCTAGAATTGCTTTACTTTTAGCTAGCTCCTCTATGGTAGGTTTCTGAAGGAGACTATCAACTAAACTGACTGTGTAACTTTGAGGTGGAGTTTCAGTTTGAGCTGCAACAACTACACCATGGTTT